ATTTCCCCTTGATACACTTGCATAAAAGATTTAACTTTTTTACACTCATTCTGTTCCCACTATCTCTGGCATGAATGAGATACTTTTATTTGCTAGCACATAAAGATAATAAAGGGCTTTTCACAAAGATTTAATTTACTCAGGAATCCTGAGAAACATACTGTCTCTAAGATTTAAGACTCAAGAAAACAGTAGAGCTAGGCAGTAATTCCAGTTCGGTAATGACTGAACAAACACTGAGCACATGATGTAGTAGGCATGAAGAGTATTGCCCCTTGATGTATTGCCTTGATGTAGCAGGCATGAAGAGTGAGGCCCCTGCCCTTCAGAGGTACACAGGCTAATGAGGGGGACTGTGACACTAAGCAATACATTAAATACCGTGTCTTAAATTCAGAGCGTATGTTCAGAGTGCTCAGAGGGTGGGCAGTTAGCACAACACGGGGGAGTTCCAGAAATCTCCATGGAAGATGACAAAACGTGCTAATCTCATACTTTCTTAGCCAGTAAATTGAAATGACTCCAAACTCGGAAAATTGCCTGGATGAACAGTCCAATAATGCTTTCAGTCTTCTGTCTAGTTTTTTTTTTTTTTTAAGTTTTTATTTTTATTTTGACAGAGATAGTGGGGGAGGGGCAGAGAGAGGGAAAGAGAGAATCTGAAACAGGCTCCTTGAATGTCAGCACAGAGCCCCACGTAGGGCTCAAACCCACGAACCGTGAGATCATGACCTGAGCCGAAACCAAGAGTTGGACACTCAACTGACTGAGCCACCCGGGCGCCCCTCTGTTTCTTTTCTTGTGTTAAATCCAAATATAGTAACATGTAGTGCCTTTAATTTAAAATAGACTGCATAGGGGCTCAGTGGGAAGAACATGCAACTCTTGACCTCTGGGTCCTGAGTTCCAGCCCCATGGTGGGTGTAAAGATTACTAAATAAATAAACTTCAGAAAATAAGTAAATAAAAATAAAATAGACTGTGGAGTACCATCCCACTGTTGTGAAATTTGTATGTTCATTAAGATATTGAGTATCTGTTATATGCTAGTTGTTATGTGCTAGTTGCTAGAGCAGTGAGCAAACCAGGCAGTCTGTTCTCGTGGAGTTTACGTTCTAGTGGGAAGACAGAAAATAAAAATAAACATCTCCCCCCACCAACAGACAAAAAAAAGCTGGGAAGCAGTGAGATAAGTACAATGAAGAACAATAAAGTAAGGGGAGGGATAGTGAGGGAGTATAGGAGGTATGTTATCTTATTTTTACAGATATATTTGTTTGTTTAGAGAGCAAGCAGGGGAGGGGCACAGAGAGATAGAGGAACTTAATTAGGCTCCAGTCTCAGCGTGGAGCCTGACACAGTGCTCAAACCCACTACCCTGGGATCATGACCTGAGCCGAAATCAGGAGTCTGTTGCTCAACCAACTGAGCCACCCAGGCGCCCCCTGCAGATCTGTTATTTTAGATAGGGTGGTCCCTAAAGGCCTTTCTTAGGAGGTGATACCTGAGTTGAGGCTTTCCAGTCTTGGGGAGGGAAAACAGAGCCTCAGGAATCATCCTGCTGCTGATGATGCCAACCAGACTGTCCGTGGCAGTGCAGGCAGTGGTCACCAGGCTTCTCCAGCATCCTGATTCCATCGCCATCATTGCACTGCTTATTAGTCAGCCTTCTATTTCCGCAGAAAACTGGACCAGAAAATCTCATTGGAGTCTGAGGAGCAGGGCCCATTAGATCTGCTTAAGCCACCAGTGACAGACCAGACTGATTGCTCCTTTCTGGTGACATTCCAGGACAGACCTGTGATGTGACCGTGCAGCATTAACAGAAGGGGGGGCACTCAGGAAGAGCCTGAGAACCTGCTAAGCCTACAATTGGAACCCTCTCTTCCCACGACCTGTCTGTATTTCTGTTACATTTCGTCCTTTTGGTCAAAAATAATAAATCACCTCTTATTTAAATGATACACTTTAGGGGCGCCTGGGTGGTTCAGTCGGTTGGGCGTCCGACTTCAGCTCAGGTCATGATCTCGCGGTCCGCGAGTTCGAGCCCCACGTCAGGCTCTGGGCTGATGGCTCGGAGCTTGGAGCCTGCTTCCGATTCTGTGTCTCCCTCTCTCTCTGCCCCTCCCCTGTTCATGCTCTGTCTCTCTCTGTCTCAAAAATAAATAAACGTTAAAAATAATAATAATAATATAAATAAATAAATAAATAAATAAATAAATAAATAATACACTTTAAGAGACCTACTTTTTCCTTCAGCAAACACCTAGAGACAAAATGTCAGTCTCCATGGTTTGTAGGGTGAAAGGCTGAATATTAAGATTGGGATCAAATCCTCAGGAGCTGGGAAGATTTCAGAGAGGGCACTGGTGCTTTCCAGTAGCACCCCCATCAAAGGATGTGTAAACATCAACTGTCAGCTTCCTCCATACATCACCCCCCAACCCACCAGTTGTCCCTCGTTCCTTCAAGCCCATTTACACTATTGTCTCATCCTCTCCTGTTCCCAGGGACCTGTACTGCCTGCCACTTCTCTCTTCTGCCCTATGTCTTCAACTTCCTGCTTTCTTCTTAAGCCCATAAACATGCCAAAGTTTCTCCTAGTCTAAAAACAAGGCCAGAGGCCTCCTCCACTGACCTCTTATATACCCCTAATATTACACTCCTTTCTTCCTAATCAAACTTTTTGAAAAAATAATCTACACTTTCAGCCTTTATTTATTTTAAAAAAGTTTTAATGTTTATTTTATTTTTGGGAGACAGAGACAGAGACAGAGTGTGAGCGGGGGAGGGGCAGAGAGAGAGGGAGACAAAGAATCTGAAGCAGGCTCCAGACTCCGAGCTGTCAGCACAAAGCCCCATGCGGGGCTCGAACTCAACGAGCCGAGCTGTGAGATCATGACCTGAGCCAAAGTCGGACGCCTAACCGACTGAGCCAAATGGGTGCCCCTATTTTATTTATTTTGAGAGAGAGTGCAGTATGCACCCTCACGAACCGTGAGATCATGACTTGAACCCAAATCAAGAGTCGGATGCTTAACCAACTGAGCCACCCAAGTGCCCCCAAAACCCTACGTTTTCAGAATGGATGTATTCCAGAGGTTTTCATCCCCACCTGCATCCAGCCCTAGTCTCTTCTCTGAGCTTCCCAGTCCTATGTCCAACTGACTGTTACCAGATGATCTAGAAGCACTAGAATGAGCTATCTTCCCCCTTGTGTGTTCTGTTTCAACTGCTGACACCATTACCCACTAAGCCAAAAATCTGAGATTCCTTCCTCTCCTATCTAATCATGCATTCACTTAGCCCTGCTGCTTTTTTTTCCCTCGTAAATCTCTTTCCAGTTCAGGTCTTTCATGCCCATGGCCCCTGCCACAGGTCAGGCCCTTCTGGCCACCTTCACACCCCCACCCCTGTCCTCCATAAATCCACAGATTCTGTTGCTAGAGTGGGACCTTATCACTCCCCTGGTCAAACCCTTCAATTGAACAATAAAGTTCAGGTTTGCCAACATGCATCACAAGCTCCCTGGACACCTTTCTAGCTTCCTGACTCCATTCCCCACATAATCAATACTCTTGCCATAACGAGCTGTTTGTAGTTCATGCCAAACTGTCTTTTCTGCCTGGAATAGCCTTTGCCTCCGCTTTGATCTACTTCCCCTGCTAATTTGTCATCTTCCACGGAGCATTTCTGGAACTCCCCCGTGTTGTGCTAACTGCCCACCCTCTGAGCACTCTGAACATACGCTCTAAATTTAAGACACGGTATTTAATGTATTGCTTAATGTCACAGTCCCCCCTCATTAGCCTGTGTACCTCTGAAGGGCAGGGGCCTCACAGCAATACTCTCCGTGCCTACTACATCAAGTATGTGCTCAGTGTTTGTTCATTCATTACCGAACTGGAATTACTGCCTAGCTCTACTGTATATTTGAATGTAACAAAAGTAAAAAAGAAACAGAGGGGCGCCCGGGTGGTTCAGTCATTTGAGTGTCCAACTCTTGGTTTCGGCTCAGGTCATGATCTCACGGTTCGTGGGTTTGAGCCCTACGTGGGGCTCTGTGCTGACATTCAAGGAGCCTGTTTGAGATTCTCTCTTTCCCTCTCTCTGCCCCTCCCCCACTATCTCTGTCAAAATAAATAAAAATAAAAACTTTAAAGAAAACTAGACAGAAGACTGAAGGCATTATTGGACTGTTCATCCAGGCAATTTTCCGAGTTTGGAGTCATTTCAGTTTACTGGCTAAGAAAGTATGAGATTAGCAGTTTAAATTTCTCCCACTTACTCCATTTTTGTGAACTATTGTTAAGTTTTAAAAGTTGTATATTGTTTTCTTGTAGTTCCCACATTTATTAGCCAACATGTATTTAAATTGATTCTGATTTTTTCACATTTATATTGTTTATAATTATTTTGATTATATTAAATAATTTTGATTAATATTAATATTAAGTAATTTTGATACCTGTGGAATAACTGCAGAATCAAACTCCTTAAACGGGGCGCTGGGTGGCTCAGTCAGTTAAGCATCGGACTCTTGATTTCTGCTCCGGTGGTGATCTCACAGTTGGTGGGTTCGAGCCCCCCCCCCGCCTGCAGCTCCGCGCTGACAGCCTGACAGCGGACAGCCTGCTCAGTTTTCTCTTTCCCTCTCTCTCTCTGCCCCGTCCCTACTTGCGCTCTCTCTCTCTCAAAATAAATAAAATAAACATTAAAAAAAAACAAAACGCTTTTAAACAAATGTATTTCACAACTTTCGGAGAATAAATTAAACTAAGTTCCTTTCCTGTGTCACATATTAGTGTTTAGGGAAAGACACTAAGCACGAGGTTCTAGTTGTGGTCGCCTCTTGCCCTGGAGGGCTGGACCGCACTCCAGGAGGGCACAGTGCCACCAGGAGCCGCCAGGGGACGCTACGGCCAGTGGCGACAGGCTGCGCCGCTCTGTGCGTCCCCTGCGCGGAGCAGAGAGGAACCTGGGCCGGCGGGCGCGGCGCAGTGCATCCTGGGTCAGCGTAGCCATGGCGGCTCGTGTCCTTTCCGCTTGTGTCCGCCGACTGCCTGCGGCCTTCGCGCCGCTGCCCCGGGTCCCCACGCTGGCCGCAGTCCGGCCGCTCAGCAACACCCTCTGCCCCGCGGGGGCCCGGACGAGGCCTGGGGTTCCGCATCCTGCCTCGGTGCTCACGCAGGTGACTCGCGGTGACTTTGCTGCGGGCTTGGCAGGGGTCAGGGATCGGGGTGGGGGGGGGAGGGGTCAGACAGCGGGGCACGCCAGCCGCGGCGGGGGTGGCCAGGGGACATCTGGCTCAATGCCTGTCCCACTACCTCATGGTGCTTGGTTGACCCCTGCTGGGAGCTCGGGTGTTCTAGTGCTTAAGAGCCGGAGCACAGACCCTCCAAACACCCCTGGGTGTAAATGCTGGCTCCCACTTTCCGAAACTTTGAGCAAGTCCATTACCTTCCTAATATCAGTCTGAACGGCTGATAAAGTTGGTGTACTAGTCTCTATGGAGTTGCGACGAGATTTTGAGAGCATGTAGGTAGAGCACCTAGTTGCGGTGCTTGGTAAGCTCTCAAAATACTGGTTTCCGTTAGTTGTAGTTATAATGACAAATACCGTGATAGTTTTCTAGGGGAAAACTAATGACAAGGTGCAAAAAGGAAGCCACACTGGCCTATAACCTTCTCCAGAGCATTTCTCATTCGGGATTTCTCCCTGTAATGCCTTTTGCCTGTTCACTTGCTTCCTAAAGGAAAGATAGGAAAAAAAGCAGTATTTAGCCTTTCTGTCGGATGAAACCTTTGTGAGGCAGAAATTGTTTTTAGGGCAGTCATTTTCCACCCTCAACCTTTGCTGCACATTCAGATCACCTGAGCAGCTTAAAAGAAGGGGGAAGAAATCCCTTACCCCCTCCTCCCCACCACTGTGCATTTTGATTTACTTATCAGAGATGAGGCCCTGGCATGGATTTTCATTTATGCTCCCCAGGTGACTAAAGGGTTGGGCCAAGATCAAGAACTACTGCCCTAAGGTAGAATAGACTCTCAGGGTCAAGTTGAGAGCCCCCCCCCCAAACCAGTGGACTCAATAGTGGTTTCAATATTTCAGTATTGACAACATTAGAATATAACAATAAGGATGCCCAGGCCAAGTCAATCATTATTTCTAGAGTTGGGGCCTGGGTGTCTGTTTTTAAAAGTCACCAAGTGATTCTTTTCTGTGGCTAGGGTTGAGATGACCGTGTGATGGATTAATTCATAGGGCATTGGCCCCATTGCCTGAATCAAAAGGTTGAAACTGTCACCTTGAAGTTAAGAGGTAAAGGGCAGTATGTAGAGTTGTTGAGTGTTTTCTTCCTGAGAGGGATTTCCATTGTAGGTTAAAATGCAAAATGATTGCCCCTATTCATAGAGCACTGATTCTCAGACTTGATTGTTACAGATCACTTGGGCTAAAATACAGTGTCTGGGAAAGGGCCCAAGAGTCATCATTTACAGTAGGCTCCCAGAAGATCCTGGTGCCACTGGTCCTTGGACCACAGCTTGAATGGAAGGGTGCTCAGAGATGTTCCACTACCTCTGCTTGGTTCATGTGTACAGCAGAAAAGCTATTTTATTTATATTTACAAAGTGATTTTGACCAAGTGCTCCCATTTAACCACCTTACATCCTTTGCTGATTGAAGAGAGAGTGAGTAAACACTTGTTCTTTCAAAGGAACAGGACAGCTATGGGCCAGACCTTATTCTAGCTGTTGAAGGTAGAGAGATACAAAGGAAAGACACTAGTTAATAACTCATTGGACATTCTGTGGCCTCGTGTTAAACTTGCCAGCTCATTCCCTGCTGGTGTTCTCTAGATTGTTCTACACTGTTTGTTGTGGTTTGCCCTTTTTCCCTGTCTCTCTGCTCCTACCCTGTTGGGACACTTTCTAATCCTTAAATGTTGGTAAGTTCCAAAGATCTCTTACCACACTCTCTTCCTGGTCTGTCTCTTCACTCTCTTGGTTTGTTACTGCCTGTCTCCCAGTTACCCCAAACTTCCACCTCCAGCCCTCGCTCATTTCATCTGGACTATTGCTTATTCCACCCATTCTTTTCCATTAGATTTTTTTCTCCTCAAATCTATCCACTATGCTGACTCCAGGGGAACTAGTTATTCATTTATATTCTGACTCATTCCTGCCTCCTAAAAGGAGCTATGAAGCAGGTCTCCTGGATGTAAAAATATGACAGTATAAAATCGAAGGTAAGAAAAACAACGGTGGTGGCCTAAAATGGAACTTGGATGTCTTATTCTTGACCCAGGCAGGGCCCAAATCTGAACTGTGTCAAAGGCAAAGCACAAAGAAGACTTCTAAAGTGTTCTATGGGGCACGGTACTGAGATGAAGGCAGAATGCTTGTGCAGGGAAAGCCCAGCTGTTTTGTCTTACTCCGGTCTCTGCAGCCCTGGGCCCTGCCTCTTCAGCCTCAGAGCCTGTCTGTGAACCACCTTACCCTTCAGTCTCCTTACCACACACACCGGCTACACTTTGAGGCCTCAGTTCTTTTTCTTGGCCTGACCTTCCCTCCTTGAATGACCCTGTCCTTTCAGGGCTAACTCCAGGTTTGGTATCTGTTTCTTCCTTGCCTGTCAAGGACTGAATGACGATTTTGTTCCTGAAGCAGCCTACAAATACATCTGTCATGGCTCTTGCTACATTTTTATTACAACTGAAATAATCTCTTTGGATTGGTCTTTCCCATTACGCCATAAAAGCTCCTCTGAGGGTAGCGGTCATATTTTATTTATCTTTGTAGTTCCAGCCTACAGCACAGTGCTAGGCACAGGAGGTACAGCTCACAGGCTGCTGAGACATAGCCATGTGTGACAACAGGGTGCGTGTACAGCACAGAAGAGGGACCTACCTAGTGCCTCCGGTGAGCAGGGTCTCAAAGGCGGCAGTTTCTCATGCACTCAGGCCAGGGTGTGACAGCACATGCAAAGACCAGGAGGAGCCTGGCACTCTTATGGTTGACCCTCGGGTGCCAGTGGAATGGAGGGGAGACCCGAGTTGAGGTAGATGTAGGCATGTTGTGAAGGGCGCTAAGGAATGTGGGTGTTCTGTGTAGGTTGCAGGGAGTAAATGTGAAACAAGGTTTGTTGAATAAGGGAGATCTTTCCTCCCAGTCAGCCAGGCTGGGTGACCCAGTAAACATGATGGTGAGACCCTGGGAAGGGTGGACGTTGGTCTCTGGCCAGAGCACCAGGGGGCAAATAAGGAATAGAGGTCTGCGAGCAGGTGTTCTGGGGACACGTAAGGATTTCCAAACCGACGTCAAAATGTCTGCGACCCGGGTGGAGCTGTTTGGGGAGGGGGGGCAGTTGATAGAGATGGCCTTTGAAGCTGTCTCCTTAGCTTTAAACTGAGGTTCCTCAGTTTCCCTTAGTCAGAGATGCGCCCGAGTAGAGATGGATGGATGTTGAGGGAAATGAACCAGGTAATTTGTCTCTACTGGTCTAGAGGGTAGTTACTCTTTGCCTGCATACAATGCCTTCTCTGATGGCTGTAGGAGGTGACTTATGTCACATAGAATTGTTTAGTTTAGATCTTGGGGAAAACAACACCAAAAACATTGTTGATTGTTGGGGACACTGCAGGGGTGTCCGTTCCCATTCTGTATGCCTCTCTCTCTCTCTCTCTTTTTAAATAGCTGAGTCCAGCAGGAAGGAGGCAATAAGACCTCCCGAGAGGCCAAGCTGGGAGACCTGGGGCTGGGTTCCTAACTTTTCTTTGTCTCAGTTTCCTGTCGTAAAATGGGACTATTGTCAGAATGAAGGAGATGATGGTTGTAAAGTGCCTAGCGCAGTGCCATAGTCCAGCCTAGGGTAAGAAGTCCATAAAGAGACCAGAAGGTGGGGGGGCATGAGAGGGAACGAGTGGGATCAAGTACTTAGGGGCCACATTACCACCAGAGCCTCAGATTGGCAGGTCATTACCCTGATCCTCCTAGGCAGGCCTCCAGAGCACTCACTGTGGATGAGCCGGGCGGTTCTGAGCCCTGCACGCTCTCTCGGTGATGCCTCAAGCAGCGCTGTGAGCTTTGTACTGCTGCTTGTCCTCATTCTACAGATAGGGAAACTGAGACATAGAAGGATTAAGTAACTTGCCCAGGGCCACACAGCTAGTAAGAAAGAGCTAGTGCCAGGGTACAAACATAGGCGTCTTATTCCAGAGTCTGAGCCGCCCCCCACTGTACCTGTCTGCCCTATACCGAGCCCACGGTAGCCCCCCATTTTGGACTGGCATGTGCTCTCCAGGTGGAGACCCTTTTATTTTCATCACTATCATGTGGTGCCCACCTGACCCAAGTGCGTGCACCTGCCAGTGCTGCTGGGGACGGTGCTGACACCTAGTGGGCCACTTGGGTAGTTGTGTGCAGATGTGCCTTCACCGGCTTCCTCCCTCGTGGGCTCTGCAGCACAGCCTCCCGTTTTCCCTTCCTCCTCAGCAGGAATTCCCCCTCATACCTCTTCTTGATGTGCACGGACAAGGCCTCTGCCAGATCCTTCCCCCTCAAAGTTCTTTCCTGTCATCACCACTATTAACTCCTTTCTCCTCTCTTTGGTCCCTTCTGCTGCTTCATTTTACTTGTGGCTTGTGGAGACTTCTAGTGATTGTGGTTAAGTAGGCCCAGAGATGGTCCCAGAGCGGCAGTCTCCTTAACTCACACTGCAGTCGGAAAGGAAAGGACACTACACATTTAGCCAAAAATAATAAGTGCTCTTAAACTCTGAAAGTACTCAGAAATACCTTAGAATAGCCATAAAGCTCTTCATCTAATCTCTTTATAGCTTGCTGATTAAACCTGATTTCAGTATGTGATTTTTTTTTTTTTTGCAAGATAAATATTTCTTATATAGAGGTATATAGAGGTTTGGTTCATTCAGCAGCATTTTTAATTATAATTTTCATAGACCTCTGTCAGTCTCAGGGACCTGAGCCCCAACACACAAACCCACTTTCTATGGGAAATTGCCCTAAGAACTCAAAACTGCAGGTTTAAAATCAACTTTAAAAGGTAAACACACCAATTCAGATTAGGGACTTCATTGTGAGCAGAAGTATCAGACAGCTGTTTTGTTTCTCTTGTTCTGCATTGTCCCTTCCACAGCGTTAAGCCCGCTGAGCTGTGAGTTGGACTTCTTTTCAGATTTGGTGAAAGAATCCATCCAAGACTCTAATACCTAGCTAAATATCAAGTAGGCTAGTACCAGAGACATTTGAGATACCAGTCCCATCACGGTAAAACCCAGAAAGCCTCATGGTTTTGCTGGTGGCGGTAAGGCAAGCCTACCCTGAAGGGAAACAAATTGGACCATAAGGACTGTCGGGCTCCCTCATCTCCTTCGGGCTGGTAGTTGGCTCATTTGCCCTGGCCAAGGTCAGTGTAATCACTGCTGGGGCCATTTTAGACCTGCGGTGTGGCCCTCAGGGTGAGCTGCCTCTCCATTTACCGTGACAGCTCTTTCCAGGTGGGTTACTTTGACTCAGGCATGCCTGTTAACAGTGGCAGTGCCTCATAGTGGCAGGAGTGCTGCAGAAGGGGCCACAGGAAGACTTCCACTTATCTGCAGACCCTATCTGGTTTTAGTGGCAGAAAGTCTGCCTGGGCCAGACGGGGCAGTCCTGGCTCTGAGGGGAAAGGAGGCCCATTTTTATGCTGCTGAACCGCTAGGGCTTCTGAAACAACCCAGCGTTGTGACCCCAGGTGGCCTAATGGCCAGAGTAGAATCAGAGGATGTGGGTTCTCTGAAGTGCCAGAAGCCCTGTGGAAGGCATCTGTGGGCTAGTGCATTGACCTAGAGGCATGTTAGGTTCAACACCGCTTTGTTCCTGCCCTTCCTTGCTTTAGGTTCCAGTAACACAGTTGTGCCGCCAGTATAGTGATGCGCCCCCTTTGACGTTAGAGGGAATCAAGGACCGTGTTCTTTATGTCTTGAAACTCTATGACAAGATCGACCCTGAAAAGGTAACTGACGTGGCTTATTGTTTTTCTTTAAATTAGCATTTAATCAATGGTACAGAATTCAGAGGGTTCAAAGGGATATTCAGTAAAAAGTCTCCCTGACTCCTAGCCACATGGTTCCCTTTCTGGGAGGCAGCCAGTGGAACCAGGTTCTTGTGTATCTTTCCAGAGATACTCAGTACATACACAAGGAAGTATACACATTTGTACATGTATGTATACTTTATGTACTATGTGATCCTTATCGCCTACCCTTTTTAAAACGCAAGTGGTAGAATACTGTAAACACTGTTCTGCGTGTTGCTTTTTAATTTATCCGCTAGTATTTTTCTCACAGTGGTACATAAATTCCCTCTTTAATAACTGAATGTACTGTATAGGTAGGATAGAGGGGTTTTTATTATTGAGATCTGATTGGCAATAACATTATGTTAGTTTCAGGTATACAACATCATGATATTTATATAACATTTTGAATTGATCACAGTTAAGTCTGGTTAATATCTATAACCACACATAGTTACAGAAACTTTTTTCTTATGATGACATTTTTAAAAAATTTTTATACATTTATTTATTTTTGATAGAGAGACAGAGCACAAGTCGGGGAGGGGCAGAGAGAGAGGGAGACACAGAATCTGAAGCAGACTCCAGGCTCTGAGCTGTCAGCACAGAGCCCGACACAGGGCTCAAACTCACAAACCGTGAGATCATGACCTGAGCTGAAGTCAGGTAGCTTAACTGACTGAGCCACTCGGGCGCCCCTCTTATAATGATAGTTTTTAAGATCTGCTCT